CACCGAGGATCGCCTGACCCCTGGGACCCATAGCTGGGTGGGCACCTCCTATTTCCATGGTTGGCTCAGCTGTCATCTCGGAGTCTCCAGCCTCACCCTCCACCCCATACTGACCAAGGGCCGTGGTCACAGGAAAAGCACAGGGGTTCACACGCCCTACCCCACAGAGACCTGCAAATCTCCCTCTTCTGCACAGCCCTCCAGCTTGCCTTGAAGTGGAGTTTAAATATAGAAGCCAGCAGAACTCAGTGTAGCTTCCTGCCTCTCCCCAGTACCTCTGCCTTCCAACTTGGTTTCCTGTGTCATTGATTCCAGAATGAGATGTTCATTTGCTCTCTGGAAATAACATTCAGAACCACTGAAACAAGTCTCTCTGGCTCAGATAAATCACAGAGGGCAGAAGAGGAGCTGAGGGTTATATTTCATTTAGAGGGGCCCCGCTGTCCTGGAGAGTACCCAGGGCTTCCCAATCAAAATACAGCTTCCTCCTTAATTTCATCCCATAAGCCCCCTGCCCACTGTCAGTTTGATTTAAGTGGTAATTCAATCCCAAAGTGAGCCCCATCTTTCAGTGGTTCTCATTATCTTTCTGCATAATGCTAGCGTGTGTGAGGACATGGGCAGAGGGACGCTTACAGCCCACCATTACTCATGGTCTCCAAGCCCAGCCAGGGCCTGGCCCAGCAAATCAGGTGCCTGCCTCGTTCCCAGAGCAATTGTGGTGTGATTTCTTTTCTCAGAGGAGTAACAACGCTCAGCCAGATGCCCACAAATAATGTTTTGTTCCTGTTTTTCCCTTAAAAGCCGGTCCAATGAGAGGTCCCTTGCTGACTTGGAGAGGATAGAGATAACCCTGGTTTGCAGCACTGTGATGCATGACTTTAACAAAATAAAGGAGAGACGTTCTTACATCCCTTGGTGTCCTCAGTTGCCTTTGGAGAGGACAAGTTCCAGGAAATCTGCTGGTAGCAATGGGACCAGTCAACGGGAGGCAGTTTGTCACCCAGGAAGGTCCGCAGACTGTGCCCATGGCTCCGTCAGTGTCATTATCAAAACCTCATTATCTTGTAGCTTTCCACAAGCCATTGTTTGTGTAGAATGGTTCTCGGCAACCGTGCTCTGATTGTCTATAACACTATCAGCAGGGAGTCTACTCATTGGCTCCGAAGAAAACAAGTGAACAGAGCCTCCTGTTTCCAGAACCATGGAGAGCTCCGCGGACCGCCGCCTCTGGCGGTGCTTGGGCGCAGCCACAGCTGAGGAGCAGACAGCTCCGAGGGTGAGCAGCTCCTGGCTTCCCCCTGCTCTCGCCTCCAGCGCTTTAGCACCCTCAGTCTCACCCCCAGAAATGCTGCCCAACAGGAGAAACAGCTTCGGATGCCAGAGATTCTGCAGCATCATCTCCACCAAGTTCAAGGGTGAAGAGTTGGAAATACTGGAGGAGCACTGGGGAGGAGACGGCACAAAGAACTGATCGGCCCAGGTGCAAGGCCAGGTCCCTTCCCAAAGGGTGGCCGGTGCCAGGAAGAGCCCACCCACCACAGGGAAAGTTGGCAAGTGTCTCTGGCCCACAGCACTGGCCTCCCTCCCCCAGCCAAGCGGCAGATCCTGACCAAAGGCCTCTCACGATGCAAAACAAAGTGTGCAGCAGCCAGATAGGCAGCTCAGAAACCCGGGGAAGGAAAGGAAACAGAAATAAGAAACCACAGATGCAAATAGAGGGAGAAAAAAAGTCAATCTCTGCGTTTGCAGCTGCTGTCTGTGTGAGCCATTCTGCATTCTGCACCGCCTTCTCGCCCAAGTTTTATTACAGCACGCAGCCACGGCAGCTGCCTCACCTCTGCCGGGCAACCTGAAACCACGAACGCGCACCGCTCTGAGTGCAGTCAGGTGAAAGAAGCTGCTTCCCCTTTTCACGGCAGGCTGGGCCTCTGGGTGAACTTGGCAGTCTTGGAACCAAGGGTGAGGCTGGCACTTCTTGGGCCAGGCTGCTGGCTCAGAGGGGGGAGGGAGAACGTCAGATTCTTTGTTTTGCTTCCTTCTCCCCCAGTTCCCCCCCACCTTTTTTTCCTTAAAACAGAGAACAAAGGAAAGGGGCAGGTTTCAGAAATGCTATGACATCTCTCCGCAACCCTCATGGAAAGGGCTGGACTGTGCTTCCCATTCATATGTGGAAGTACGAAGCCCCAGGACCCCAGAAGCTTAGGTCATTGTATATGCGGGAGGTTGAGATGAGATCATGCTGGGTAAGGTGGACCCTGATCCAGTCCGGCAGTGTCCTGATAAACGAAGGGAGATTTGGATACAGAGGCATACAGGGAAAATGCCACCTGTGGCCCGGAGTAATGGGGTCATGAGACAAGCAAATGCCAGGAGCTGGGACAGAGCCTCCCTGGAGTCCTCAAAGGGGCACAGCGCTGCCCAGCTGACCTCAGTCAAGGCCTCCAGAGCTGGGAGGTGACACGCATGTTGCTCTTAGCCACCTCAGGCGTGGTGCTCTGTTAGGACACCCTGACAGACTACTCAGGCCAGGTCCAAGGACAAAGCCAAACTGGGGAATGAGGGTTCAGACTGTGCACCTGGGATACTGCCATATCGAAGTAGAGGCCAGGAGTGTTGTGTGGTCATGAAGAGAAAGTCTCCGGACAGCGCCAAATGCCTCTGTGCCAGGCAGAGGGTGCACCCGAGCACAGCCACTGCCTGAAGGGAACCTGTCGTCCTGCGTTGGCACCAACACAGGCCCGAGTTATGGGCTCTGCAGTCAAGCCCGTCAGGAAAGCTCAGGGGATAGAAGGGTTTGGAGACCGCTGCTTATGAGGCACGGGGCACTGCAGACTGCAGGGTCGCTGGTCTGGAGTCTTCCCACTTTGGCTCCAGCCTGGGAACCTTGGTTTTGCAGCACATCCAACCGCACCTTTGACTTCTAACGCACGGAACAAGTTTCTTTCAAGGGAGGGGGTATGGATGCCCTTTGCTCCCTGAAAACACATCTCCCCTCCTTCCTCACCTGCCCCACAAGTGGCAGGGATATTTGCTGAAGAGATCTTGAAATGGGCCACATCCCCTCAGTCCCATCCTGTCCGGCCCCTTTCCTGCACTGGAGGGAGGCTCGCTCCATCTGCGGCCATGGCCCGGGGCTCCGATGTTTCTGATGAGCTCACATATTTAGAAACCTATTGTAGGCAGCTCTGCTAAATGTATCCAGCCATATGGGGACCCCGTGTTTATTTTCTTGGCTTCAGTTCAAAGACAAGAGCACTATGCACTAGCAAATGGATACTAGAAACCCAATTTCCCCCTCTCACTGGTGAGCAAATTGAGTTTATTTTAATGGTATCCAGGCTGTTGATTTGTTTAAATCAGTTAAATGACCAGAGTGGCATTGTTTTTTCTGCTTGTTAAAGACAGTTATGCATCCCATTCATCAATGGTCTAAGGCATTAAGCCCCTGGTGGGCTCCGGAGAGGCCCCCTGGGGAGCCGGAGGTCACTTCAGCCATCTGCCAGCCCACAGCAGCATGCACTAGGGAAGCCTTGCAGGCAGAGGAAGCCAGACAGAGGCGTGGTAGGAGCCGGGACAGTGGGCAGGCTCCTCATAGCTCCCTGGGGCGCTGTGTGTGTGTCCCCCTCTGCAGCAGGCCACCGAGGACCAATTAGCGGGCAAGCGCATTCCTTCCTCCCGGGTTGGAAAGGAAGGCTGGACCCCGCTCCTAATCAGCGGCTCCTCTGTGCTTTTGAAAGGGTTCTGCGATAAAGGAAGCTATTTCTTGAGCTGGGTCCTTTCTCACCTGCCGGTCTGCTTGGCTGTGTTGCTGGGCTGTGAGCTTGCTCCGGCTCCCTCCTCCCTCCCGCCTTTCAGCTGCTGGTCCTGGGCCTTGGCTAGCAAATGGAACCACAGGCGGGTCACACCGGCTTCTGGAGGCAGCCTGAGCCTGGCTGATGCAGAGTAGCTTTGGTAAGGAGCTGAGGAGGCCCAGCTTGGTGCCCCTGTCTGGCTAAAGGGTCTTCAAAATCCAGGGCCCCCCTTTCTGTCATGCTCTATCCCATGTGGCAGTAGGACCATCGGTGATGCATCTGGCCTTGGTGGTTCTGACATCAGCTGCATAGAAGGCGCTTAGCCAATGTGAGGTACCTGGCTGCCCAGGGAGCTTCCTGATGCAAGGGTACCTGGCAGTCTCACTTCCTTAGACTGAGCCTTAGCTCCAGTGGCCGGGGCAGGAGAACCCCAACCACACCTGTGAACCCCTCTGGGCAGAAGCTGAGGGAAGCTGTGTCCTCTGTGGGTCTGGAGTGTGGTTTTCAGCCTTTAAACAGGGTCACCCTTTGCGAGTGCCCTGGATGTGTATAGCAGGATCCCTATTCCTCTGTGCCAGCAGCACGCTGTGCCCAGCTGGGACAACTGGAAGTGCCCAGGCAGGGCCAGATGTTCTCTGAGCTGCTGGTCTAGGCGGTACATTGCTCACAAGCCAGCCGTCCCAGCTCTGCCTGTTTGGAGGCAACCAGAGCGCCCTGATCCCTCTGTTAGTACTATGTGAGTTCCAATGTGTCCAACTCTGCCACCTCAGGCCTTCAGGAGCATCTCACCTGGGTGCAGGTGCATCGATAGAAACCCAGGACTGATGTGCAACCAGGGGAGTGGCTTCCTCAGCAGGTGCAATGGCAGATGGTAGCCGGCTTCACCCTGTCATCTGAGAGTCCTGGGAACCCCCAAGCCTGCACCTGTGGACATCATGGTCTCCAGTACAGTTCTGTGCAATATTCCTGGTGACCCCAGGACAAAAACACAGAGGCCAGGGAGGTTTTCCTAGTCCTTTAGTGGGGTGGAGCACCAGTTTGGAGATAATGACTTTCTACAGAGAAAATCTTGGACTGGACCATGGAGTGGAGACATAAGTGGCCATATTTTTAGAGGCTATCTCAGATAATACCCTTAAAAATAAAAAAGTAAAAAGTAACATTTTAAAAAATTCCTTCAGTGGTCATGGCCTGAACTCACGTTGATTGTTCTTTTTTATATTATGTTTTTTTTAATAGCAATATCAGAGTACTAAATATACAGAGGAAAGTCAATATATATGTGTTTCATTTACAATGTTTTCCAAATACATAGCTTTGAAATACAGAAACAACTTAAAAAAATCTGGAATAAAAGTTCACCTGTAAGGAAATTACACCCAGCCACCTGCCCCCCACCCCGCCAAAATATATTGTGTCATGTTTGTTCATTAACATAATTATGATACGCGTTTAAGGAAAAACACAATATTAAACCACAGTCGTTTAACCGTTCCAGGAGGATGACACATAAATCTGTCCATAGAGACGGCTGTGGCATCGATCTATGAAGAACATGTAAACAGGGAGTTCTGCTTCCCTTTTGAAAAAGAACAAGTGCTCCATGTAAAAGTATAAATAACCAGCAAACAGTTTATTGTATCAGAAAATAATTTAGGCAGAGCAAAATAAACCCAGCTTTTGCCGTACATCAGAAACGCGGAGGAAATTAGTTCTGAAACATTCCACTTAGACTGGCGAGAAAACAGGCCAATGTGGCCCTAGCTGCTAAATTCTCATCCTGGGGTTCACGGTCATAGACTGAGTTTCTGGTTCCATGGGGGAGCTGGAGAGCTGGAGTCGGGGCAATGACCTCTGACTCTATAAATTTGTGTAATGGGACCTGGTGAGTTGAAGGGTTATGTAAACACATGGGGAGAACCGAAAAGGAAATGGTCCTCTGTCCCTCAGATATGACATTCTTGGGTAGTTACCCCTGTGCAAAATCCATTCAGAGTTTCTCTAAGCATTTTCCACCAATGTCCAGATGTACCCAACGGCCAATGCTTGACACTGTGAAAGCCAAACATCCAAATGGCCAACAACCTGTTCTACTTCTCAGAAAGCCTCTCACGACGATGACTTTAGTCAACAGCAAGTTAAACCAACCAGGAAGCAAAGGAAGGCTTACTAGACTTTTCAATAAAACACTCCCTGGGGCCAGGCCCAGTGCCCACGGTCAACTTGACCATGGAGAGATTTTTGGGACTTGTCCCCACATGTTCAGTATTTAATGAACAGCTTCCACCAAACTAAACAATCACCAGGCTCCAGATATTTCCCCTGTATTTGGTTATTGGCACTTTCTATGTATTTTCAATAAACGTGTTAGTTTTTAAAAAGCAAAAGATGTTAAAAATACAATCAATGCATGGTTTCTCCCAAAGCAACTTGATCATTTGTAGGTCTAAAAGCTGAGGAAGATTTCATTCAGTAGGAAAGGGGTAGAGTGACAGGGCATTGCTGGTAAACCCATTCATCTCACATCATGTAAGTTAAATAAATTTAATCCACAAGGTCACTACAGTTTCTGTGGAGCTCTGTGGTTGGCGGTCTGCTTTCACCAAATGCCTTTAACTTGGGGGAAACCCGCCCTGGATTCTACTGCCCGCCATCTTGTTTCCCCGGGAAATTACAAGGGATGACTGATTCTAATGAGACTGCTAGAAGAAGAGAAAATTTAAAACCCAAAACTCGGACCTTTAAGAAAATTGTTATCTTCCTCTGCAAGCTAGCCACATTTTCCCCAAATCTCGATATTTCATACCAAAACTTTTCAACTTCCTACCTCTCCCTCCCACATTTTAGATGGCACAGGCCCCGTTCTTAGCCTTGCATGAACCAGCGCAATACGTGATTATTCCGGGAGGTTTGCAGAATCCTCATGTGTCACTCCCATTGGGAATTCATCTTTAAGGGTCAAAGTTATTGTCCCTTGACTGAGAACTAACTTTGCTGGGGCTCTTTCACTCTCTGGCTTTAGAGAAAGTGACCCAAATGCGAGAGAACACACACACACACACACACACACACACACACACACACACACAGAGAGAGAGAGAGAGAGAGAGAGAGAGAGAGAGAGAGAAGAAAGTACAACAAAGCATGTCTGTGGGTGTTGGCAGTTCAGTTCCGGGAGGGGGTGGCCAAATGCCTGGACTGGCCACTGGCTTTTCAAGGCCAGTGGTGCTCTTTGCATTAGGGGCTCTGCACTCAGAACATGGTGGCTCAGGGGAGGATACACCCTGTTGCAGGACCACTGTAGGAAAGCCATCTCCTCAGAGCTTTCTAGGGCCACGCTGACTTGGTGTACACACAGAGAAAGTGTGGCTCTGTAGACCCCAAGCTGCAGGTGGCTACACAGCTTGATGTTAGGCATCCATGTGCATGTGGGGGAAACACTGAAGTGGAGCCCCCACCCCCATCCAGCAGCAGGCAGAGGAAGGGGCTCCTTCTGGATGTGGCAGCTGCCCTGGTGGAGAAACTGTCGAGTAACGCTACGTCTCGCTGTTCAACCTTCCAGGGAGGTCAAAGCCTGAGACTTCAGCAAAACCCCTTCTCTGTCTGAAGCCCAGGCGGTCTCTGAAGGCCAGAAGTTGGGGTTAGGGCATCACAGTGGGCTTGAAATCATCCCTGTGGGCTTGGGATGCTGGGGGAAGAGAGCAGAGTGGAGTGATCTCATTAATTAGTTTTGTCTCGGGGCCCTGAGATGGAAACACATTAGCTCCTTCAGTTCCTTGTGCAATCAACTGAACTGATCATGCTGGGGTCCTCAAAGCGCCACTTGTCCAAATCTTAGTAGCTGCATGTCTTCATGGGGCGTAACAGTGACAAAAACGGAACTTGGGGCTACACAGTGTTCTTGCTTCTTCATGGCCAAAGCTGTCTCTGATTTCTTGGGAGCGATAACTTTGCCAGCTCAGCACTAACTAACATTTGGCAACCTGAAGTACACACATCACCGCTAAAGGACATTACAGGATTTCAGGACCCGGTGAAGACTAACCAGCTGGTTAGGGACCAGGTCCCTGCCAGAGGGAAGCTTCCAAGGAACAGTGATGTAGTGCTGCTCACAACTGAGTGTGTTGCTGATAACTGAGTTTTCCACATGGAAAACTCAAAACTCCAGAGAATTCTGTTTTAAGAGAAAGACCAGCTGGGACAAAACTAATTAACTTTCATAAGGACTTTCCTACAACACAATGCTCTCCGCACTCATGCCTGCTACGCATTACCCAGCAGATGTGGGACTGTGGAATTCAAGATTCCTACAAGAGCCCCCTCGGGATGTCCCCACAACTCTCAGGACGTAGTATATTAACCCACTTAATCAAACATTATCTATGACATATGTGTATTGTGATTCTAGCTTACACGAGAAAACATTTATATAGTCTCTGTTCCCTTTCCCCCCCTCTTCTCACCAGTGGTTAAACTCTTTCCATCTTAGGTGTTCCAGATGGGTAAGGGTGGCCCCATGTAACATCACCCCTCTGAAGTCCAGACTGTACTATTACAACTTAGATTCATGGATTCCTTCAAAAAGACTCTCCTGATTCTACACGAGTAACTCCAGGACATTTAGGAGAGACTCCATCCAAAGCAAAGGACCATAGAGCTCCTGGAATGATTCACTGTACAATTTTAGCCCCAATGCAGACCCCTAGTTGACCATTAGTTCAAACCAGTTGATCCTTCTCTTTAGTTGTCTTCACAACTGGGCATGCCTGTACATTTATGGGCATGGAGTGTTTGGCGATCCATAAGGGAGAATCTCCCAGCACCCTGCTGTCCACAAACCACTGCCTTAGGAGCCCAAGGCAAGCATATCTTCCTTCTGGCTTCTGGCTCAGTCAGCAGAGAGGAACAGAGCAGAGTTGGGTAAGGACCTGAGCACTTCCGGAAATGGCTGGCTTTTCTAGCAGGCTTGCTTCCTGTTTCTGGTGGGGAAGGTGAGGCCACCCCTGCACAGTGCAAGTGATGTGATGCCCTTTGCATAAGAGTAGCCGTGCACAGTGAGCCTCACCTGGCCACACACGGTGACTGCCTTGAACTCTAGATTGGTTACTGCACGCATGCTAGCTGAGCTCTTTCTAGAATAATCTGAGGGCAGAAGAAGTCTCTTCTTTTGTTTGTTGGATGGTTAGGGTGATTGAAAAGATAGAAGTTCCCTGCCTAAGCCCCTCTCTAGCCACACCTTCCAAATGCAAGCAAGCTCTAAGCCCAGAAATTATGCAAAACTGCACATAACCGGGCTTCACACCCTTTGGAAGGAAGGGCTGCTGGCATATTTCAAAATGCCAACCGATCATTCCAGTCCTCCCCGGAAATCCCACAGGTAACACTAGACTAACAAACACACAAATTCAGGCTCTGAGTTTATCTTCTTCGCAGGCAGAGCATCAAGGCAACATAAGTGGGAAGAATAATCAAAGACTCAGGATGATGAGAATTTGGCTCATTTAGTGGGCTGTGCTATTTACACTGGGAAACAAACAAACAATCAAAAAAGAGTGTGGCAGAGAAATTGACAAACAACACCAAAGTAACCGTTCCAAAATTACATGAATCACTGCCTGCTTCAGAAGAGCTGCTTCCTTAAAAGCAGATGTTGTTTAAGAGGACAAAGTTATGTGCTCGGTGCTGGGGGTGTTTACAAAGCACTGCCTCTAGTCTAGGAGGGACGGCCCTGTCCTCCTGGAGACCTGGCTGACCCGGATCGAGGGTCTAGTGGAGACCCAGCAGAGACATTTGTGACAGATCAGACATCTGTTCCCAGCTGTGAGGGAGGGAAGACTAAAGTTGTCTTGCTCCATCCATCCAACCCTAGACCACCCCTCAGTAAACAGAAGACGGAGGGCAGCAGGAGAAGTCACAGGCAATGTCACCCCCTGCTTGTCTTTCATATCACTGCTCCCCGTCCCTCAACTGCTTACTTATCTCTGCAAATTATTTTATGTATTCCTTTGTTTTATCTGCAAAAGCCATAGGGCAGGACCATGATCCCTTTGCTTCCCGCCGTTGGGCCAGCATGGTAGAAGTTCAAGTACTTCCTGATTGAGCCACTGATGAATGCTCAGCCAATCAGAGCACAGCAGGAATAGTGGCTTCTTCTTCACCTCCTGAGCACATGGTGCCTTCGCAGAGAACTCACAAGTGGAAGCAAGAATGGCTTCAGTCTCTGTCTTCACCTATCGTGATGTGAGGGGTGTCAGTGGAGGAGAAGACAGACAGCCCAGGGAGATGGAGACTCATGTGCCCAGGGATTGTCCCGATGAAAGAGGTCGCGATGTCCAAGACAGGCAAAGGGAAGGTTGTCCTGGTGCCATTTTGAAGTGAAAAACTAGGACAATCCAGCCTGCCTGTGAATGGGCTGCAGGTCCCAGACTAAGCCCCACTCCCTGTCTTGTCTTCCAAGAGCTTAAGGTCAGCCCAGCCTCATTGGTGTCAGAAGATCCTGGACTGTCTGAGAGAAGAAGCAAACAGATGGAATCCATCTCCATGGGCAAGAGCATCCAAGTAAAAATGATCTGAGGCGATGTGTTCTTTTAAGACCCGGATGGTGGCCTGGGCATCAACACAGAAGTTACCCACAAGGGCTGCCTGTGGGAGATGGGGCTCTGCCTGGAGTCAAACATGGCTGTGAAGAATGATATATTTTAGAGAAGAAAGATGGATTTCAGACGGCAGGGTCACAGTGGTAACAACTGATCGCCTGGTGGTCACATTCAGAGAGTCGGGGAAATTCCCGGAGAGTTGGGCTTCTAAGTGTAGAAAGAAGGGCCGAAGGGGCATCTGGGAGATGGCTGCAGCAGCAGAGGTCTGCTTGACTGGGCACTGGGAAGACCAGGTCCCCGGGGGAAGGCAGTGGTCCCTCTGTCTGTGCGGGGAGGATGCCACGTGGAATGTCAGCATCCCCCGCCTGCCCTGCGGTGTCACTTCTCAACCACACATGCTATGGGAAGTGGGGGTGGGGGAGCTGGGCAGAGAAGGGGTGCCACGTGGCTTGGCTCTGCTTGGACTTGGATGAACCTGAGCCCAGCAAGAAAGGATCAGGAAGTTCTCTCCCCAGGGCAGGAGACTCTTTCCTTTCACACTCCAAACTTGGAAACAAAAGCAACTATACCTGTATCTTAGCCAGGTGAGAGTGGAATCCAGCTTAGAAGTGATTAGACCAAGAAATGGACTTGAACATGCAACAAGATGGTCCAGACACCACCAAGAGCCAAACCCAGGTGACTCAAAACCCTGAAGGGTCGACGGGTGAGTGATGGAGCCGGCTCGGTCTCAGGGGCCATGGCTGGGACACTGAAGGGATGCAGCAGAGACGAACACACATTTGGGGACCTCACCAAAGCACATCACACCTGCCACTGCTCTTCATGAAGAAAAAGAATCTGAAGGCTCTGCAAGGAGGGCTCTGGGAGGGGGTGTCTGAAAGTGGACTCTGGATGTCAGAGGTCAAGGTGAGAAGAGGGAACACTAAGGCTCAGGGCTGTGCCCGAGGCCAAGGAAGGTTGTGGGCAGTGGCGTGCATGCCCACCAGGCTCCCCTAGACCCTGAGCAGCCACAGGAGCCCTGCGCATGCCATCTCCACAGCAGTAAGGGGAGGGGAAAGGTGGACACCAAGAATAAAGTAAAACCTCTTCACAGTTCCCCTCCTGGGCACCGGGAAAGGGCAGCCAGGCACCAGCCTCTTCAGTGAGCAGCCTTTGCGGGTCTGGGTTGTGCCCACATGGACCCCGCTGCCTGCCCTAAGCCCATGCTGGAGTGGCTGCCGCAGGACTGAGGGGCTTTGTCTCTCTAAGAGTTCCCCTCGAAGCTCAGGGTCCCAGGGACTCTGGAAGACTTCAGGGCAGCCCAGGGTCTGCGTCCGAGGGGACAAGGTGCATCTTTGCAGGGACAGATTCCCATCACATCCTACCGATGGGTCCTCACCGGGTGCCCACACCAAACTGAGAAGACTTGAGGACAGAGGGACAGGGGCTAGAGGACACACAGGGAGTCAAGAGCCTGGGGAGGGGCTGAGGCCAGGGGCAGCCACTGGTGCTACTTGGTGTATGCCAAAGTCTTGGGTAGGTGAGGACAGAGCAAAATGGAAACCAAGCTTCCCAACATTTGAGTGCCACTCGGATGCCAACCGGACAGGACTGGGCACACCGTGGTCTTCCTCACGTTTCCCTCACTCTCACAGCGTCCAGGAGGCACGAAAGGGAGTGTTTCGAGCCCACTTCAAGGGGTTTCTGAGGGAACTTCGGTCCCAGGGATGAAGTAGAATTTTGGCAGCCTGGCTGCTCCAGGGCAGGTGCAGCCACCTGTCCGGCTGTGACCTCCCTCGCTCAGCCTGGGCTTTCCCTCAAGGTTAAACCCAAGCCACACCTGGGCCACTCAAAGGAATCACAATTTGGAGACGGACCCCACACTACTTCTGGGCTTCCACCTCTACTCTGGAAGAGTGTGGGTTCACAAGATGGCAGCCCACGTCCCTGGCAGTGCCCGCTACCTACAGCAGGTCTGGGCCTGTGAACCCAGATGACCGGGATGACTACAGCATCAACCACAGTGGTGCAGGGAGCACCTGCTGGCACCAGGCTTCAGCTGGGGTCCTACTTCCTCCAGGAAGCTCTGTGGCAGGGTCTGCCACACCACAGAAGGCCTTGGGAGCTGACGAGAGAAGGGCGTCTCCCAACAGCCCCCACCAGCATGCACAGCCACCCTCGGCCCCCAGAAAAAGCAGCAGAATCCAGGCCAGGACCCCAGAGCAGTCCGGGCTGTCACGCACGTGATCACCGTGTCTCACTGCCAAGCAAAACAAGCCCTCTTACGTTCTGAGCGCTGCCCTGACTGACGTACGCACACACGCGGGAAGGATGTATTCCTTTACTTTTTGGAACTGGAAAATTTCTTTAATTCAGTCTATGCTTGTGTAACACAAGTCTGAGAATCCACCGCCCACCCAGCCTGGTGCTCAGTTGGGCCCGTCTAGCAGCAGCCAGCTACGTCAGCGTGCGCACGGCTGTTAGGTAGCATCTTCAAATGGTTAAATGAAGAAAGGTAACACTTATGCACGTGTGTATACATATATATAGGAAACCACGGCATTCTTCGATCTGGCTCAAGATAACACATCACATGTTTGTCGTCACTCCGCAGATACCAGCCAAGGCAGGGCGTCCCTGAAGGGTCCAGCTGTCCCCGGAATGAGCAGTGATGAACTATCAGGTCACCAGGAAGAATAAAGAATATGCTCACCTGTGGAACTGTATTTCCAATATATGCGTATATATGCGTGAGTGTTTGCGTGTGTGGGTGTGAGTGTGGTGTGCATGTGTGCGTGTGTGCATGTGTGTGTGTGTGTGTGTGTGTACGTGGTGAGTTGCAGGAGTAGAAAACATCAGTTTAATTCTGTTCATACTAAGCATGTTAAATAAATCAGATTTTGTAAGCTATAACACAATTCTTTTTTTAAAAAGGAACATTGAAGATCTTCAAAAATTGCTACAGTACAAAAAAAGGGTGTGTGTGTGTCTGTTGGTATTTATATATTTATATATGTATAATAACCAGAAATAGCAACTCTATTGGAAGAGATTCCCACCCCTGTTTTCTGTAAGATTTCTACGCGTGATTCGCTCGGCTGCGGCTCGGGGCCGGGCCTCTCAGGTCAGTTCATGGCACATAATGGTATTATTGGCACAGGTTCAGAATCGTGGTCCAGATCCCAGGCATCGGTGCCTCCTCCTGTCCCATTCCCGTGGCCACCTGGTCTCTTGGTCTCCAGTCCCCTCCTCGCGTGTCTTTGTTGTGTTCTCCGGAGAAGACTGGAGAAGGCAGTCACCCATAGGCGTGAGCATCTTTACAAAAATATATTTGGCCTAGAGCGGCTGCTATGCGTTTCCCACCGGCAGACAGAAGTGGCAGGTGCGGGGACCCTCCCCCTTAGACAGTTTAGTTTGGGGTTTTGTATTTTTGTTTTGTTTTTACAGGTTCACCAACGGAATCCTGCATGGAAAGAAAACAAGAAGAGATTAAAAGCAGGCAGCAGGACCAGGCGTGGGGAGGCTGTGGGGGCCCCCGCCACATGCAGTCCAGGTCCCCTCCTGCTCCCCCAGCCCAGGAAAGGGAGGATGCCTCACGAGAACTGGCATTGGGAACTGCAAGAAACCACAAATCCTGGGGCTATAAGCCGTCTCTGACCGCTGCATTCATTACTGTGATCTGCGGTGCCCAGCGCTTCCTACGAAGGGACCGGGCCAGAGCTGCACCTGCTCTGCTCCTGGGCAGAGGAAGAAAAGTTTCCCTTCCACCCCTCAGCTCAGCTGTTGGCTCCCTGAAGCCAGAACTTTGAGATACTCCTGAGTCGTTTCAGAAGAAAGCCCTCTTGGGTCTCCCTAGAAGGGGACCTTGCTGGAGAGAGGAGGGAGGTGATACCTGCCTCACCTGCATGTACGCAGGCCAGGTAAGCTGCCTGCAGCAGGCCCAAAGTCAGGGGCGCCAACCCAGCCTGTGGATGCCTTAGGAAGTAATGGGCTCAGTCCCCTGGCACAGAGAGACCCAGCAGGTCACCCTGGCCCAGGCGTTGGACAGTACCAGCACTCCTGGGTATGCACAGGGGCTGGACCCCATTCTTGCTCTGCCAGTGGGCATGTTTGCTCAAAGGGGCACCTGAGGTAGGGGGATGGGGTGGCTCAGAGCTGCCGCCGGCACCCCTTAGGCTGCAGGCAGAAAGGAATTGCCCGCACATCCTGGTCTGTGCAGAGGATACAGGTGAGAATGGGGTGGGGGTGCCAAGGAGCCCCGTTTGAGAGAAACCGGAGAAGCCCTCAGCTGGAGCACGGGGGGCCAGGCCGGCTCCACCCCATCATCTTCCGGTGTTCTCAGAAACGGACTCCTGGCCACCATGGAGGCCCAGAACCTTCCTCCTGGCAGGGCCTATGAACATGGGCTTCTAAGAGCTCCGCAGGAGGTCCGAGGACAGGCAGGCGGGGCCTGTCGCCCAGCTGTCCCCAACAGACGGGGTGTGCTGCTCTTCCACCAGTGCCTGGGGAAACAGAGTGCTCAGGCCACCAGGTGGACACGGGACGCGTGCTGGGCTTGGCGGTGTGGCTGGTCGCCGCAGAGTAGCCGCTCCTGCTCAGCAAGGGGCCCTTGCTGTTCCTGGAGCCCCAGCCCCGAAGTCTATCCAACAGGGGTCCTTCCCAGGCACCCAGATTGAGACTGTGGGAGCCAGATCTCTGAGGGTCACCTCGGCCCACCTGCCACCCCGAGCGACACCTGATTGGGCAAAGCTACCAGGTCCAGACTACAGCCACTGTGAGACCCCCTCCCTGCTGGGGCTCCAGTGCCTCCGTGAATGAAGAGATGGGATGTCCTGTCATAGGAGCATGGACCCCAGGGACCTCATCCTGCCCCGCCCCTCCACATTTCCCAGACTTGGGGAAAGGAAAGGTTTCGGAAACGAGGTGATTTAATCCCAAGAGAAACACCCCTCTTGAGTACCCGTCTTCATTCAGATGTTTTCAAGTCAAAAACTGTCGGGACAGAGGCTGCACAGCCGCAGCCACAGGAGGGACCCGAGTGGTCAGGATCGCAGAGACAGACAGTGGTGTAGTGGTTCCGGGGAGGGGTGCTGGGGCTCCGTGGACAGAGCTTGAATGTGGGTGATGAACAGGATCTGGAGGCAGATGTGGTGAGGGCCCTTTCACCCTTCTTCTTTCTCCTCTTCCTCGCTGAGCTCCACGCTGCGTCCTGATCCAGACCTGCAGATTACAGCTTCAGATTCCTGGGGTTCGGTGGCAGAGGCTCCTTGGGCCCCCTGCCCTTTCTGGATGTGTCTCTCCTTATTTCTGCCCGTTCCTGTCCTGTCCTGTTACTTCTCAGGTGTGGGACAAACTGCGGTCGCTTTTAGATGCACATGTGTGCGCGTGAACTCCCCAAGGACAAGGATCACCACCTGGCCACCTGTGGCTCCTGGGAGTCCAGCTCTGCCGGCCTAGGGTGAGAACCAGATCTGGAAGAAGCTGAGGAGAGACTTGTGCCCCAAAGAGAGCTTTGTCCTGAGTCCCCGCGCAAGAGGCATCCTCCGGGGCTTAACCCTCTTCTTCTGCCCCTAAGAGGTACATGCAGAGGGTCCACCTGCACAGGGTTCGGGCCCCTGAAACCACCATGGCTTGGCCACGAAGGGAAAGGAGCATTTTCCAGGTCTACAGGAAAAGAGGGAGGCAGAGAGGGGAAGGGAGGGAGACCGGACCGTAGCTGCAATGGCCACTTCGAAGCCAAGGCTGGGGCTGTCCTTCAAGCGCCGGGTGCTGTCTCAGCATCAGGCCCAGAGGAGGCTCCGAGGCGCAGCTTGCTCTGCTGTCCCAACCTGACTCCGGGAGGGGCCGGATTGCCGTTCCAGGGGCTCGGGCCGGGGGCTGCGCAGCCAGAGAGCAGGAACCAGGCGAAGGGCAGAGGCGGAGGGACACGAGACCCACGTTGGAGATGCCTCAGCCAGCCGAGGCAGGGAAGCTGCGGGCCTACTGCAGAGCCATCCAGGAGATGGCGCCTGGAGGGAGAGAGCGTGACAACCCCTTGGCTCCCTAGGATGGGGCTCAGGGCCTGCTCTGAGGAGACAGCTCACTGGGTGACTCTGTGACCGAGAGGGACACAGTGCCTGGGGTCCCTTGGTGCCTGGTCTCAGGGAGCTCTGCTTCTGGCGGGCCTGGAGGTTGCTTTGAGAAAAGCTTTCCTTTGAATTACAAAAGTTTGCTCTTCTATTCATGTATTTTTTAAAGAACAAAGTGGGAAAGCTCGGGTGCATTTCCTGGTTTTTTTTTTGTTAGTTATGTCTTCAAAGTGTTTTTTGAAAATAGGAACATGGGGATTTGTGTCTCACTTGGCCTGGAGTCGAGTGGCTTCACGGCTTCCGAGGCTCCACGGGGAAGAAAGCGCCTCCGGCAGGAAAGCACGGAAGTCGCGCTGACGGGGCTCTGAAGTGTACTTGTTCCGTGAGAAGTGACAGAGGGGCCCACGAGGTTGTGGGTCCGAGGCTCCCTTCGCTGGACGGAGGAGGGCAGCTTTGTTCTGTCCACGTCCGGAGCAGTCTGGCCCCACCGAAGAGGTGGGATCTTTAATGTGGCAGCAGGGCTGCATGGCGCACATCTGTCCCGCAGCCTGATCAGGGACCACCGCTGGGCCCACGCGTGCTCACAGGTTGGCGTGAGGACAAGGACCCGTGTGATCACAGGCTGCTACATCATCATTAAAAATGCATTTAGAGAGTCTGGACAGCTATTCGAGAGATAAATATCTCCACTGGCTCTTAAACCTTAATTAAATGTTTCAGTATTAATTGCTATTTATTTAAGGGACAGTAAGTACCCTAGTAAATCTGAGCGAGCTCTCCGGTTATTCTCCTCTCGGTGTCCATGTCTGAGCATTCATTAGAAGAGTCAGGGGTACTGAGAGCCTGCATGCTCTCGTCCCCGTGAGTGACAGACAGTCTGTCCCACTGGCGGCGAAGGGGCTGGAAGCATTTATGAGGAACTAACTAGTGAGGCCTCATATACAGCCTCCTGGTCCCTGTCCACGGGAGCCACAGCTTTGTGTCAAGAGAGGCAGCAGCTGAGCTCAGCCCACTCAAAGCAAGCTGGACTCGATGGCTCTTGGTCCTCTGGACTCCACTCCCTGCCCGTCAGGGGTCCGCAGGGAGGGGCTCCGGCTGTGTGGACAGAGCCATCCCCTGTGGAAATGGGGTCGCCCATCTGGGTACCCCCATCTTGCACTCCCTCCTGGGGTGGTGGGTGGGCAGAGCGGCCAGCGCCACTCCCTGTGGGGTCTTGGTGTCTCTGTGCAGGAGCAGAGAAGGGGAGGGAGGAGAAGGAGGGTTTTCTGGAGCAATTACACTTTGCACAGCTGATGTCATGGCTCTAATCTGGGCACGGGAGACCCCTGGGCTCAGGCTTGGGGTGCTTGGGAGCTGCGTCTCAGCCCTGTGGCGTGCGCTGGCTGCTTCTGGGCTGCGGGCTTAGTTGAGGATCCTGGCCTCAACCCCCACCCCAGCTCTCCTCCAGCCTGGCCAGGACCCGCAGTGAGGCCGGGCTCAAGCAGGGGTGCAGTGGCCAGGTAGCCTGGGGCTGACCCATCCTTGCACTGACAACCTGCCCGGCACCACTCGAGTCACTACCTCCCCCCAGCCTCAGTTTCCCCGGTGAAAGGGACTGTGGGGAGGACAGATGAGCTCCTTCGCCTAGCGTGGTCCGATGAGAAGCTGCCACTTGAACATGTGCATTAGGGCTGTGCCCCAGTGAAGGTCACGTGGAACCGCAGGGCGTGCCCTCTAGTCCATGGGCCCACAGTGGAGGCTGCTGTGCAGGCCGCCTAGGTCAGTGAATTGTGGGCAAATGCACTTAAGTTGAGACAGAGATGCTGGCAGCCACGTGACCTGGGACAGGCCCAGGCTTCACCAGGAAACCGGGCTCTGCTGCTCAGAAACGAATGTCCTGCTGCCATGCAGCCTCGGTGCCAAAGGGGCTGTCTGCAGCGCCACGAGCTGCATCCACTGGGCAGACACGGCCCCAGCTCGGGGATGTGCGGTGCCAGTGTCCCCACCGCAGAAAGGCTAGGCCGTGCCTGCTCCCTGCTGGCCCCATGGGCTCCACCACGACCTCTGCAGGGTGGCTCGTTTCCAGTCTAATCCAATTATGCTCCCTGGCCTGCTCGCAGAACATTTGGCTTCGGGACAGGGAGGAAGGGCTGGAGACTGGATTTGGTGCTAATGTGCAGTTCATTAGCGCTAAGATGAAGAACTGACCAATTCAGATTCATCCCCACTCCAATGGCAGCGGGCTGCCGGGGCCTGGCGGAGGGCCACAAGTGGAGTCCTGGGCACCTTCACACCCTGCAGTCTGCGCCAGCCATACCACTTCCAGGCTTCCATTCAGCGTCCCAAGCAGAGGGTGAGCGGTGAGGAAGAGAGCGCGTTCAGACATGACATCCCACCCAAGACCCAGGACCCCCTCCCCGCAGGAGGGGGAGGACTCGGGAGGTTCACTCACTCTGGGGGACGCAAAGAGCAGATGGGAGACCCTCGCGGGACTGTCGCCCACATCGCAAGAAAAGCACATCGAGCACAAAGCAAAGTCAGAAACCTGAGGTTGCCCTTGCAGCCCGTGCGCTGGGAGCACACAGCCCTCGCCGTCGTGACCGCGGTGGCCTCTCCCCAGCAGCCCGGCACGCAGAGCCCTGAACATCCACGTTCATATCACTGAAAGCAAACCAAATGTTCCTGCCCAGCAGAGCGTGGAAAACTCATCCTGCTTTGGTACCGGTCCCTGGCTTCAAATTAGTAGATGTCTCAGCTCCTCACTTTCTTTCTTTATCATGTTCCTTCTTATCTCTTATTTTTGTATTTCAAAATTGTATTTTCATTCTGCCTGGCACCCTCCCTGGTGCAAAGTTACACGACAGGGTGTGACCCTGCCCACTTAGCTGCCGGCCCAGCCTCTTCCCGTGGAGGAGGAGAGCTGTAATTGGAGCTGGATTCCAGAAGTGACTTTCCCTGCCCAGCAGGCCCCGCTCACGGAGGCCCTCTTTAGGAAGGACAGGCACAGCCGTGATGTTCTGGGGACGGCAAGCGTCTGCCGCCCCTCCACAGGGACACGGGGGTGTTTCTAACCATGTAACCTGGGGTGCAGCCTGGGGTCCAGCTCCCTGGCTTCCATTCAGCAAGGCGCTGCTGCGGGAACCCTCCACGCCAGACAGGCAAGGCCTGCGGTGACCCCACAGTCAGGAGCGAAGAGGAGCAAGGGGAAACAGGCGGTGTCCAAAGAAAGGTACGTACCATGAGACAGACACCTGGCGTCCGCCCTGCCCCAGGAGGTAAAAAGCCTTCGGCCAGTCAGCAGGAGATTTCAAACCATTTCTCAGACACGAAGGCCACAGGGATGAGATGCCGGTCGGCGGAGGAGGAGCTGCAGAGAGGAGAGCAGACAGGTGGGCTTGCACATGTGGGTGCAAGACACAGGCAAGTCGGCAGCTGTGCAGGGACCAGGAAGGTCCGGCCTGATATGGGCCCACTGGGGAGGGGTCACTCACCAACGCTGCACCCAGGAGGGCTGGAGGACCAGGCCTGCAGATTTGGGTGCAGGAGGACTCTGGCACGGAGCCGGGAAGGTTGGCCTCCCTCGTGCCTGTGCCATCCTCAGATTTCAGCTTTGGAATTCACAGGCCGACCTCAGAGCCAGGGTCCGTGCCTCTGAGGGCAGAGATCGATGCCCTTCACTGCATGTGACAGAAAGGGAGGGGACCCGGCTCCTGTCACCTAGAGGACTAACATACCGTGTCCCAAGGCCAGCAGACAGCAGTGGAGCACAACCACGGGCCACAGGAGCCAGCTCCAGCCAAGGCCTCCAGCCAGGGACACAGAGCCTGCACTTGGAGTGCTCCATGCCACACAGGCACCCCCAAGCCCCTGACCTGAAGCCTCGACTCTCCCCCGGGTCTGAAGCACTGGTTGGCTGCCTAGGACTCATCCAAACCAACACACAAACTTTCAATAAAATGGTTTGAAAAGGTTTTTCCTGATTCTCTAGGAACTCAGCCCTCTGGAAGGAGATCCAGAATGTGTGTGTGTGTGTGTGTGTGTGTGTGTGTGTACCATAGGTTCAGGGCCTTCCAAGCTTGGCTGGTCCCCTGGAGGAAAGGGGGTGTCTAAGGAGAGAACCCCAAGGTGGAGATCCAAGAGGTGAGCTGAGTGGTATTTAGGGGACATCCGCTTCCTGCTGCCACAGGACAAGGGCACAAGAACTAGGCATCGCAGCTGGCTGCGGTGGCCAGGCCCCTGCCTCCCTGCCCCTGAAAAAGCCAGCAACCAACACACAAGCAGCAGATGATCTTTCCTGAAGCGGCCCCACGCCAGCTCCTGGCCCTGGATCCTGGGGAGCTGGGCAGCATCCCTATCTGCTCACCCCACTGCTGACCAGGGCCTCGAGGTAGCCTGGTGACGGGCTCATTTCTTCCTAAGATCTTTAAGTTGTCGGGGACTTTTTTTTTTTTAATCCACAAAATGATGCATGAGTGTATGCTTCCTTAAAAAAATAGCTTATTGATATTTTAATTTAATTCTGGACAGACCTTCAGGAGCTGACTCAAGGGTTTCTTAAATATTCCCAGGGATGGTTAGGATATGTCTTCTTTGAGGGATCACCCATGAATAATAAAAAAAGAGCATTTAATAAGAAGCGTCTGGTGCTGGAGTGCGCCTGGCATTTGATATTTCTGCTGCACTCACGGCTGACATTTTATTGACGGAGTCTCAGAGACACTGACTCTGGGAGGGACCAGTTCTCATGTGCTGATGCTCAGGAGGTCGATAACGACATGGCCGGCTCCGCACTCCAGGGCGATGGCCAGCGAGCGCCCCACGCAGGGCTGGAGGATGTGTGTTTCCATCCTGCACGTACATGGGGGGTCTGGAAGGGAATTTCAGCTGGAGCTGCTGTGTCCCAGGAGTCCGGGGAGCCTGCTGCTATCTACCTGGTGTCTCTTGGTTGGTGACAGTGGCCGTCTGGGCTCCCAGAAGCCTTCTAAACAAGCGAGCCGGGCAGACCGGCGTCCCCACCCCGGAGCTCACCGGTTCCCATTGAACGTGGACTTGTACTCGCCCGCCGGGTGCAGCGTCTCATCGGTGTACACGGGCACGGAGGCCCTCACGCACTCGTGGGAGCACTGCAGCGTCTCGTTGTAGGCCGTGAAGATGTCCAGGCTGCTGGGCACCCGGGCCGGGGTGAAGTCGGTGAGGTTCTGGCAGCTTTCCTCCTGCTGGTTGATCTTCCGCTGGTGGCTGTTCCTCCGAGTGTTCCCGTTTTGGGCACAGCTGGGGAGAGAGAGGCTGGGTGGGGGCGGGCAGGTGCCAGGGCCTCCGCGCCTTCGCCTCCAAGCTTCGCCTCCGGTCAGGGAGGCAGCGTTTAATATCTGGTGGTAATTCCCAGCCTCTTCAGAAAGATCAACCACAATCAAGCAATCGGCTCCTTTCTTTTTTACATATAAAATTTGAATTTTAAATGTGGCCATTATCGCAGGGAGCGTTGGGAGGGAGGAAAGGGGCTGAGCACACTGCCAGGCCGATTTGACAGAAGAGCCTCTCTGCCAGACCATGGTGTGACTCAGTTTCCCCACCAGGGTCTCAGTGAAATGAAAACTCTGACCCAGCTTGCAGCCAGAGGAGCCTGGCTCCGTGGGATCTGTGGCGACAGGCGGGGTGGGGGTGTTCCTCCCTCTGTGACAGTCTGGGAAGTCTAACCGGGTGGCAGTGCCCCAGGACTCATCCTCAGTGGAGCCCAGGTCACCTTCACGAACTGGAAGCAAGGGTCACAGGAGGGGGCTGTCCTGATGTCCCTGGCACCTGCCTTATTTTTCCATTTATCTGGGTCTTAGGGGCTTCCAGAGGCCACCGAGGATGAGCACAGAAAGCCCACCCTTGTCTCAGAAGGAATTCGGCACTGGAGACCTCAGTGACCCCCGGCAGCCCCCACAGTGCTGAGTTCGCAGGCAGGAGGGGTGGTGGCAGGGGAAACTCCTGCAGTTTGGAAGCCAAGGGCACTGTTTCCTCCCATGGGGCTGCACCAGGGCAAGGGTCCATCTCCCGCAAGCCTCCCTGCCTCAGCCGTCCCCAGAAGAGGAATCCCCATCCTGGGCTGTCAAAGCCCAGCTCCCAAAGGAGAGATGTGAATGCCAAAGCCCTCGGGCCCAGCCTGCCTTGTGCCCCTCCACAGAGCCAGCTGAGGGTCACTGTCACCCCTCGCCACCAGCTGCAAGCCTGAGATCCTTGAGGACTTGCTCTGAACCAGAGTGCTAGAAGCCAGCATGGAAGCCAGCAGCGCACCCAGGCCCCGTCACGGCAGCGGAGAGCTCTCCGGCTCTCCGGAGAGGCAAGGCCCCTCCCCAGTCAGCCTGTGGGTCTGCCTGCCACAGAGTCAGCAGGTCCAGGCCCTGAGCTCGCCCCTGCCTGAGCAGCACTGCTGTGAGCAGCTGTGTTGTCCTGTCTCCAGTCCCCAGAGAACACCTGAGGTCCCCATCTGTCTGCCGGCTGTCAGGCGGTGGCTGGGAGGCCTTGCCCATTGGGAGGGGTTTTCCCCAGTTGCCCCACCCTCCTGCCACCTGCTGTCAGGTCACCTGTGGTGACAGACTTTCTGTGCCAGTTCCTCGTGTGCCCTTGTCTGGCTCTATGTCACTGTCCAGGCAACAAGGGGACCCCTGGGAGGGCTGCTCTGCGGGGAGCTGGGGCTTTGAGCAACTGGACTAGCAGAGGCCTCTGCAATTCTGCGGGCAGCAGGGTCACCGGAAGTCCCCTGGTGTCTCTGGGCCATACCAGGTGTGCAGCCCCAGCAAGGCGGGCCGCAAAGTAGGCCACTTTCCAGGAGGGAGCAGGCCACGGTGAGCGCCCACAGCAAAGCAGTGACCTAGTTCAGAGACACACGGCTGCCGCGGGAGCAAGGAAGGAGGCTGAGGAGGCCGTCCGGGCTGCTGCCGGCAGGACCTTGTCCCCGCCGTTCCCTGGAAGGCCCCGGGAGAATGGGAGGGGATCAGCTCTGAGTGCAGCATCCATGGTCCATGGGGATCCAGGGACAGAGTTAGGAGCAGGAGCGACATCAGCCGGGATGCCACGTCCTGGAGCCACCATGACAGGCCACCCAGGAGCCTGCTCTGTTGCAGCCAGTGCCCCCCGGGCCAGGAAGAGCGATCCCCGGGGCTGCAGCGGGGGCTGAACTTGCAAAGCTGGGCCTCTCTGTGCACACCCTGGGGCCCCGCAGCCCCCACCCCCAGGCCTTACCAATTTTTTAAGACAAGAGTTGTGATGAGAGCAGCGATGACCATGATGAGGGAGACGGTGATGGTGATGATCTGATGCACAGCCAAACCTGGAGAGGAGGAGACAGGGGTCAGGGACTGGGGCCTGCACAGCCGGGGTGCAGGCAGGGGCTGCTGACCACCACCCGGGCCAGGCGCCAGCTCCGGTCTCTCCCCTTGCGCCCCTCAGTCCCAGAGCTGTGACCTGGCCCGTGGGCAGAGTCCCTGTCATCCCCGCTGAGACTTCACCTGCTGCCTCTACCTGGCCTCCGTAGCGCTGCTGAGAGGTTCCCTGAGGACCTGCACCCACCTACCTGCTGCACCTGGGTGGATTCTGCTCCCCGACACTGGAGCCATGAGTAGGGGTGGGGAGCAGGCCTGAGAGCAGGGCAAGGTTTGGCAAAGGCAGAGCCTGGATGGCCGAGGCCTTTAGGGGAAGAGGAGTTGCAGACTTGCAGCCCTCAGGCTACAAGGATCACTGGGAGGCGGCTTCTTCTTTCCAGAGCCCTGCCTGGGTTGCTCACTGTCTGATGGAGGCCTCTGGTTTAAGAGGGAGCTTCCCAAAGAGGATCCATTCCTGGCCTTGCTGCCCTGTGCCCTTTCGTGGCAGGGGAAGGAAGTGGGGGGGGGACAGCAGGACAGGCTGCTTCAGCAGCAGGACAGTCACAACTTGACCAAGAGCTGTCTGCTACTAGTGAGGCAGATGGCAGAGGACAGCCACCTTCTCACCCCTCCTGATGTCCTCACCACAGCCACAGTCCTTCCTGACCACATCTGCCACCCACTGCCAGGGACATGGGCCTGCATACATCCTCCACTGGCCAGCCAGAGCCACCTGGAGGGCCCACCTTCCTGGCTCTGTCCTTCTGCTGTTGGCCAGAGCTGCACCTGGAGGGCAAAGGCCTGGGGCTTTTGGAGTCAGCCCAGGAGAGCATCCACCCTCCCCAGGTGCCGACCTGCCACACACCTGAGGCTTCCCCTCCTATCTCCCCCGAGTACCCATCTTAATGCCCACTTTGCAGAGATGCTCTGGTCTGACCTGGTGGCTGCAAGGAAAGAACACATGTGTGCGTTCCCTCGTGGCAGATTGCAGAGTGTCAAGATTTTCCTGGCGGCCTCCCAGAGACAGAGTCTCACAAACAGATGTTACCTCTCCGCTAAATATGATCCTCTTGGGGGAAACTGTTCATAAATGATTAAAAGTTGGCACAACCAGAAGCCAGCTGTCTCCCCTTCCCCCTCTTTTGGGGCTACTGTCATTGGTCAGGCGGGACCCAGGGAAGCCACTGGAGGAGCACCACCCGGAAGCCATGGAGCCCATCCGGGAGTGCCACGGCCCCGTCATGCATCTTTCATCCACTGGCTCAGAATCGGCTTGCTGAGCACTTTCTGTGCCAGCCCCGATGCCACCTGAGGGAACAGCCACTCCAGTGCCTTTCTCAAAGTGGTTGTGTTCACTGCGACACCCGTGACTAGTTCACGGCACCTGGTGTAAACCCTGGGCAAGTTTTCCTACTCCTCCAAGCAGCCGCATCATCTTGCCAAGGGATGGAAGCTAAGTTAGACTAGAGGAAGCACCTCCAGTCTTGCCAGCCACGGAGCACCCACCAGTTCCAGGAATCCCTGCGTTTCACCAGGTCCTCTGAGGCCCAGCAGAGGCCACATGGGAGGAGTCAAAAGGATGTGCGGTTCAGTGGACAGCCACGGAGAGGTGGGTGACTGCTCAGTGTCCTCTTTTGCCCTCTCTGCCCACTCCCATGGGCCCGGTCAAGTGACAGCCATGCTGTTATGAAGAGTATGTGCTTGGCCTATGCCTGTGCTTTTGAGACAGCAGGAGGCAGAGACGATGATGGGGATGATGGTGGTCACAATTACGGATGTGATGATGACAGTGTTGATTATGGTGGTGAAACCATGACGACGTGACGATGATGGTGAGGGATGGTACTGGTGATGATCATGATAGCGATGCTGACGTTGACAGTGCTGATTGTGGCCATGGTTCTGGTTGTGGTGATGACACTGTTGATTATGCTGCCAAACAGTGATGGAGATGGTAATAGCGGTGATGTGATGGATGGCGGTGGTGGATGATGGTGATGGCCGATGGTGGTAGTGATGATGGTGATGGTGGAGATGGTGATAATTGAGCTTATTTTGAGGAAGAGAAGATGGTGATTATCACTACCACCCTCAACATCACCATCACCAAAATACTCACCAACACCATCATTACCAACACCGTCCCATCACCACCACCATCACCATGGCCACCACTGTTGTCATGAGGATGGTGATGGTGGGGATGGGGGTGATGGAGACGATGACAGTGGTAATAACGGTGGTGACAGTGATGAGGATGAAGAAGATGCTGACCCTCGTGATGAAGGTAATGATGACCGCAGACATGCTCAACAGTGGTAGCAAATGATAAGTGTTGTTGATCCATCAGTTCCTAGCAACAACTCAAAATGCCAGATGCTGTCATTACCGACCACGGAGGGGAAAACCACGGGGGGCGGGGCTTGCGACATCCTCTGATCATACAGGATAAGGTGCCTGCTGAGCCTTGCGTTAGACAGTGCCAGCTCAGACATGGCCGGTCTAAATGTTGGTGGTCTCTCTCCTCATCCTTTCCTCTTTCTGTGCTAGGGTTGGCTCCTCTCCCCTCTACAAGCCCAAGAGAGAGTACGCTTCTACCCTCACAGACACAGGAGCTTATCCCCACCCCTCTCTTATGGGCAAGCCCACTGGGGATGGCTGCAGATGCACACCACAGGTCTCTCAACCATTTCTTGGTATGTCACACACTGGTTCCCATAAAAAATAAATCTTTGTTTTGGTGGGTTAAATTTGCCATCTTCTGAGCCAGGATTAGAGAACGGAACATCTGCAAAGATGGGGATGTAAAAGAGTAAAGCACGGGGTGAGCCCAGGTAGCAGGAGGGACTGGTCCAGCCTGGGACGCTGGGCTCTGTCCCCGCTCTGAGTGCCCCCTTATGAGAACGCAGCCCTCCTCTCTCCGTTCTCAGTATCTGCAGCCAGGGAGACCCAAGACAGCACCAGATTTTTGATCTCTCCTCTTGCTAGTAAAAGAGTTCTTCCTTTGGGGTGAATCTCTGCAGTGGCTAGAAATCTGAGAAGAGAGGAGTTCCACAACCCGCTGATCATCATGGTTTAATTCCTCCCATCCTGTGAGTACAGGAAAGCGCTGGTTCTCCTCTTCTAATGGATCAAAAAAACTGAAGCCCAGAGAGAAAAGCGGTTGATTCAGAGGACCCCTCACCGGTGACTCTGAGAACAGAAACCCAGTTCCTTACTGGGGTCCTCTTCCATCCACAAGTTCCCTAAAGATTCCCACTCTCCTCCCCCACCACACACCCACACACACACTGCCTGACACGGTTATCATGGAACGAGAGCTGCAGGCCTCACCATCAACCTTGTAATTGAACAAAAAATAAAAAGCCAGGGAGTGGAAGCGGGGGTGAACGACAGAGCACCAGCGCGCCTGTTCCGGAGGCCCTTCCCTTGCCTTTGGTGTGAATTTCCTCTGCTGGACTTCCCAAATTAAAATTTAGAGGAAGCAAAATGTGGTCGATACCCAGCCAGGAGAACCTGGATGATGTACAATAGCAACACAGCGGCTCCACTCTCCTGAGTGATTTCCTCACGCTGGGCACGTTGCTAAGTTTTAGCACATGTGATGCAGTTCCTCCAGAGTCATCCTGCCATTCCCGTATCTGTCTGGCTTAACAAGAGCTGAGGCTCACAGAGGTGAAATGACTTTCTTCTGGTCACCTGGCAGAGCCAAGAAGAAAGGCAATTCTCTCCCCTGGAGTGCCTAAGAATAATCCAACATACAACCAACATTACAATGTTAAACTAACCCAGGAAAAATATTTTTTCCTCCCCTGGCAACTTTGCTTGCAAAGAAAACCCACAAGTGATTCAAAGCCTGGCAGGTGGGCTCTGCCGGGCCACCAGGTTCCTGAGTCACGGCTGTGAGAAGAAACTGCAGACTTGAACAAAGACGAGATGCCTTGCTCTGTGGTCCGAATAATGTTTGCAGGAAATGCTGTGGAATGAAACATCTGCAAGGATGCCTCATTGTGTCCTGTCCCTTTCTGGAAGGCTGGCTACTGAGAACAGATCAGCACCCCAGGTGAGACACATAACGTTTAAAGCGACTGTCCTAGCATTTGGTACTCCCTGAACGCCAGTGGTTGTTTCCTCGTGTGAGTGCCTCAAGTCTTCTTGTGGGTTTCAGGTAGACAAGCCTTTTTCTTAAAGCACCAGATAGTAAGATTTTAGTTTTCTCAGGCAGTATGATCTCTGTGTGAATCAGCTTTGGATTACTATAACAAAGCACCAGAGGCAGCTGACTTTATAAAGAGAACAGTCTTATCTAGTCCACAGTTTCGGAGGTTGGTACAGTGTGGATCTTAAATATTCTTCACAGGCTCTGGTGCTGAAGGCTTGGTCCCTGGCTTTTTGTGCTATAGGGAGGTTGGGAGCAGGGTGAGTAAGGCCACGGGAGTGCCCTTGCAGGGGACATAAAGACTCCCAGCTGCCACAGAGTGATCAGCTTTGCTTGCCACACTCTCTAGATGTTCCATCTCTCAGGGTCCAAAGCTGTGGGGCCAGGTGACCAAGACTGAAACCCTAAAACCGTGAGTCAAAGCAAATCCTTCTTCCTATGAGTTGGTGTCTCGGGTTTCTTGCAGGAACGGCAAACAGACCAGAGTGCAAACACAAATGGGCAAATGCTCCTACCTTGAGCTAGGGCAGAGATACCAAGCCCACACTGCCCCAGAGAGGGAGCGCCCTGAGGAACAGGATCTTTCACTAGGCTCCACCTCTGAAAGGTTCCACTCCCTTCCCAATGTCCCCATCCCGGAGACTAAAACTCACTCACAATGAACCTTTGGGGACACGCAAACCTGCCTATGCCACAGCCGTCTCTGTCTCCGTGAGGAAACTCTCACTGTAGTGCAGAAGCAGTCCGGACGATATGTAAACAAGGGGGTGAGTCCCGGGAAACTGTCCACAGAAGCTGGGGCCACATCCG